ACCAGCGTGCCTGTAACAAATGTGGATAGAGCCTTCCCAAATCTTCGTTCACAAAGCCCAGCCATGAATTTTACCTTAAAGTGCCATGCAGGTATCTTAGGGACTAAATTACTTGAAAGTAACCCAGAAACTTTCTTCTTGGTAATTAATATCTCCAACTACTGGCTATATTTAATGTCCATAAAACAGTGAGTTTTGCTCAGCACATTACTTGTGGGACTACTGTTTAATTATTACTGGGAGCGTTAATGATAGCTGTGCTTAAGCATATTGGATTTATTTCAGTGTGTTTGCTAGAAGTAGTTTTCAGGCTTTTACTCAGGTCTTCCCTGCTCATTGGAAGGTTGCCTCTGCTGCTTCCTTGCTTCCCAGTTTCTTGGCCTGCAGTTATACCCTCTCGTCTGCTGCATGTGCTTGGGTCCTTGTGCCATGCCTTCCCTTACAGCTGGCATGCTGCTTTGGACTCTGCCCTAATGGGAATTTGCGAAAAAGCAATGCACATGCCACCTGCAAACAGAGTGTGTACTTACCCATGCCACAAAACAAGGTGGAAGTAACTCCGTCCTCACCCTCTGTGCCATGTTTTTAAGATTACATGTCTGTCAGGCCTTTCGGAGTGCCCAGTGTGTATGCAGAGCCCATCCCAAGCCTTTACACTGCTGTGGGCTGGGTGGCTTTCAGGGTATTGTTTATTAGGCACAGAGGTTTGTTTAAAGAATGTGAAAAGCATATCAGAAATTTACTGGGGATGCTGAGAACCTTGGCTCTGGCATTGGCTGCCTGTCAGTGCTCCATTGGGAACTGCACTTTAAATTTCTCTGAGCAATTTAGGCCCTCCCGAGTTTCGCTTTTTTTTCAGAGGATAACCAATTCGGTGTGAGCAAGATGACATTGGTATAAAATACCAAATATTCCACAGAAACGTGTTTGTTTATTTAATTTAGAATGAGAGTAAAGGACAGCCTTAAGCTGCTCCAGGGCAGGTTTAGGTTGGACATAGGGAAGAACTTCTTCACAGAAAGGGTGATTAGATATCGGAATGAGCTGCCACTCCATGGTGGAGTCGCCATCCCTGGAGGTATTTTAAGGAAAGACTGGACGTGTCACATAGTGCTGTGATCTAGTTGACATGGTGGTATTGGGTCAAAGGTGGGACTCGATGATCTCAGAGGTCTTTTCCAACCTAATTGATTCTGTGAATTATTACTCATGAAGGGGAGCGGGGTGGGATGTTTCGTAAGGATCCGAGGTGTGGGCAGCGGCGGGCAGCCGGGCGGGACGGCCCGGCCGCGCTGGGCACGCTCCGCACACGAGGGAGCCGAGCCGGGCCGAGCCGAGGCGGGTCGCGAGGCCGCCGCCGGCCCCTGTCCAGCCGCGGCGCTGCCCTTTTCCCCGCACCCACGGCCGGCACGGGCCGGGCAGCGCAGCGGGGCCGCCGCCACCTGCGGGCCGGGCCCGGCGGAGCGCCGGCCGCCGCCCGGGGCGTGTCGTGTCGTTCCGAGCCGAGCCGCCCGGCCCCGCGGTGAGTCACCGGCCGGGGCTCGGGCACCACTTCCCCTCTCGACAGGAGCCATTTTAGCTGCACGAAGCTGCGGGGAGGCCGGGGCGGTGCCGCGGGCCCCGCGGCCGAGCGGTACGTGCTCCCCGGGGAGGGACAGTCGGGCGGGGGGGACGCGGCGACCCGGGGCTGCTGGCGGCGGCTCTGCCGCCTCGACGTGCGGCCGCGCCCGGGGCAGCGCTCCGCAGCCGTCGGAAGAGCACTGCGGGGGAAAAGGGAACTTCTGGCAAAGCGCAGCACCGGGGGAAAAAACCAAAATATAAACTAGACCGTGAGTAAAGGGACGTTTCGGGGCAGCAGCGCGGTAAGCTGCCTGAAGCTGAGCCTGTTGCTGCGGGCAAAGGGCACCCCGGCTGCCACTGTGCTGCTCTGAACGGCGTGCTGCACGAGTGTGGCAGCTGGTTTGTAATTCTGCTGTGTTTTATAGTTTTGTCGCCTTTGAAGCGTGCGGAGGTGTCAGGCAGGCTGCCGGCCCGAGCCCTCCAGCCGCCGCTCAGCGGACTGGTCAGCAGACGAATTTTGTTTATTCCGAAGCTGCTATTACCTGGGCCAGGTTGGCTTGGAGTAGAGCACGGTACAGAGGGATTCGGGCTAAGTGTTGGCTGTCAGCGCTGCGGCTTTGAGCACCTTTGCTCCACTGCTGTTCGCCCGATGTGGTCCCGAGCGACTTTAAAATGGCAGGCTTGTCATTGCAGAGACAGATCACCCTCTGCGCCCGCGACCTTACACTGAGGTTCTGTTTCTGCCGAAACAGACTCGTTCAACGGCAGCCGCCGCGGTGTCGTCTTAAAATAGGGGTTAAATTGTTATGTGGGCAGGTACTCACCTTTTCCTGAAAATGATTAAAAAATGAAAGCAGTGGGGATGGTGTACATGGCAGACCAATTATAAAATGGGCTTAGTGGTACTTTTAACGGGAGAAGAAAATCCTGGAGGTAATTGCGGTGTGTCAAATTGCTTCTTAAACTTTCGGTGGATGAAAACCACCTTGATTCACCTAATTATGTACTTCTGAACTCTAGCACAGTATTTTGAAAAAGAATCGGTGTTTTCACCTTCTTTGTTGAACAGAAATGTTCTTCTTTAAAAGTTTTGTCTGAGTATATAGCTTTGGACCCTGTATTTCAGTCTTTCACTTGAAAAATCAGATTCAATATCTTCTTACTGAAAATTAAATGACAGGGCACTCGAACTGTTGTGCACAGGGGAATACTGTCCAGGGTCATTTACTGTATGGAGCCTGTATCTGAGAAGTATAATGGAGTCTTGCTTAATACTGTGATTGGTTGCAGGGGAGGTAGAGAGAGAGGCAACCATGAAGTAAATGATCATGTTTTGGGTGAGGCTGTCTCTTGTCTTCAGCCTTTCCGGTGTTCACCCATATCTGCCTTCTGCATCTTACAGTACAGTGTGTTTCCACCATCTTTTTATTCTAAATTTTGCCTTTTTTTCTTTCTAAAAGCGACAAGTTTTGCAAGGGTTTGGGAGATGTATTTGGTGCGTTGTTTCACGTTGAAAAATCGCAGAGGAACTGGTAAAACTACAGAGGAACCACTTGGAAAAAAGTGTTCCGAGTTAGTGATAGAAGTTTTTTCCTGAAAAATTCTTAAACGTGTTTGCATCTTTCTTTTTCTCATCACGACATTTATTTTCAGATCTTAGGGTTCCATGCTTGGAACTGGCAGAACATGACCCTCCCTTTCTTTATCTCTTTTCTCCCCTTCTTTCTTCTGCATTGGACCCTGTTGAGACATTCAGCCTTAAAAACTTGAGTTTTTAAGTTTTTAAGTCAGCTCTCAAGCTGCAGATGCTTATCTTGGGCAGACGTCTTTGTGTGCTAAAGGGTAAAGAGCTGCTGCTACTTTCTCTTGATCAGGGCTTCACAGAGAAGTAGTTCCTCTTTGAAGGCAAAAGCTGCCATGTTTGGGCTCTCTTGCTGCTGTGCAGAAGCATCTGCAGTATAGTGGTGGAGCTAGAAAAAAGTGATTTGAAAGTCCTCCAGGACTTACAGATGACAGCTTGGACAGATCTTCTAGCAGGCAGAGAAGTGGATTTGAAGTTACAGAGAAACGTTGTTAGTTTTTTTTAATTTGTATGCCTGTGTTTGTCTCCCCCAAAAAACCCCCAAAATAAAGAAATAGTATTTCCTCCTCGCACACCCTAAGGCAGGAGTCTTTCAGTTTGGATTGAGTTTGTGGTTGTTGAGAGATGAGCCGTGGGAGTGATGGTATCTTTAGATGGCAGTTAGCTTGAACATTATTTCCAATCCATGCTTTTATGAAAGTGTCTGTTTTCTAATGCGCTCTTTTTTCATCTGTTGAATATTAGAATTGTCAAGTCCGTGGTCTTGGCACTTAAATGAGAAAAATAAAGAAGTAAACGTCCATATATGAAGAATGTTGTTGGCCTGGTATAGCCTGATATTTTGGTATTGCTGCAAACTCGTACTTCAGTCGTGTGCGTTACTCTTTGGACACTTTATGTATTAAAAACCCCAAATACATGAGGTGTATAAGAGTACCGTTTTCTCTCTTTCAGCACAGCCATATCCAAGGGAGGGAACTACAGTAGGACTGTGTTTGGTGAGCTGATAGGAAAGACTATTTAAGAAAAATGGAGGATTTCCCTTTGTATCAGAGGAGAAACTTTGATCTCCAAAACATCTTTCACTTCTTACAAGTGTTAGCAAAAATTTTGCAGCTTTCACTTGTAGACTTCATTGTTTTCACTGATAGTTTTGGTAACTTGCTGGAGTTTGTTGGGTGTGTGAGGAGGAGCAAGGACTTTCCCCGGCTGGGGTGATTCAGCACAGGAGTGGCAGGAGGTGGAGTTCACCTTTCCAGCCTTGGTTACAATCTGCACCATAAGTGCTGAAACTTTGCTACCATATGCCAGTGATTTACTGTGCTTATCATTTTAATGCCACTGATGTGTTTTTAGAGATTATTTGCTTCCTTAAATCTTACTTAAATGGTGCTTTCTTAAATCTTACTTAAATGTTTCTCCACAGATAAATTAGTTGACAGAGACTATACATACTGCAATTTTAAGTCTTTTTCTTAGCATAAGTCCGCAGCAGCCATGTGAAGGGCTCTAGACATTTTCACTTTCCCGATCCAATGTGATTAATTGTGTAGAGATAAAAATGATTTATCTCTTAATGTGTGCCAGTCCTGTGGCAAAGCTTCCCACTCCATCAGTGTTTGTGAAAGGATCCCATTAGATAGGGTCTAAACTTTATGCATTCTTACCTTGATGTGCTTTGGGCCTTAACTGCCAACCAGCTATCTTCAGAGGGCTCAAGCTCAGGTCATTTATTTGTCCTTAAAGAGAGCACTCATCTTGGGTCACGTGTGACTTATACTATGTTCAGGCTTGAATGTGAAACTGATAGTAGTTTTGTTAGCCTGGAAAGAACCTCCAGTTCTTAAATTTGCATGTAAAAAATATTTCTCTCTGTATTGGGGAAAAGGATATTATGGTTAAGATAATTTGCTAGAATTAGGAATACTAGATGCGTAGGTTGGAAACTGTGGGAAAGAGTTGGTTTTAGATGGATTGAATGTCACTGTCTGCTTCTATAATTAGACATTTTAGTCTATTTCTAGAACACCCTATATTTAACTCATCGTCAACATTTCTGTGTGAATATATCAAGTACATTTTTTATTTTGAGGGGAATGTTCTGCACTTCTTGAATGTTACCATTAGTGTACTAATGGTCTCATCGCTTCAATTGTGAGCTCTTTCCACATTTGCTTCACCTTCTTGCGTGGTTGTGGTTTGACTTCATAGGGGGGCTCAGTGTAAATGTCATCCCACACAACACTGAGGTTCAGAATTGGAAGAAAGGGGTGAGCTTGGTTGATTCAAATTGATATCTGCTGTTGAAAGAAACACGTTTATATGTTGTGACTGCATATATTGTTTTGTCATGCTGCGTCTTCCTGTAAAGTTACTTGTGTTCTTCATGAGATCTTTTGACAGAGTTAATAAAGCTGACAGGTTAGAAGAAAACTACCTTGCTTTTGTAGTCTTCATATCAAGTCACTTCTGCTGTTCTCCACTTCCTGGCTGACTTGATGTTTATCCAGTTTTATGTTGCAGCTAGGGAAAGAAGCAGAAAAATACGATTGTGAAACTACAGTTACAATTTGTGATACCCAGAGCTGACTACTGTTAGAAAATTAATGTTTAACTTGCTCTTTCAACCAGACTCAATTTCAAGTTAAAAGCAAGTTGACAAGGATACTGTTAGTTTTCTCCTCTTTGTACGTGCTACATGTGCTGCACTACATAATTTTGGAGCTAATGAGAATAGTGTCCCAAAGATGCAATGACATGGTTTGTTTTTAGTGGAGGCTATCTTTCCAACCAGAAGACGATCCTCTTAGGAAGCACTTTCATGATGACTGTGTCTTGAAGGCACCAGGGCTTGCACATTGTCTGCTGAAGACAGAATTTGCTGACATTGCCCTTGGAGGTGGTGTTTACATTATCCACTCCCATTCCCTTGGTACTTTGCTGTTCTGTGCTGTTATTCTCCTCCCTCTCCAGAGTCTCTTTAAACTTATTTACTTTTTGTAGCTATTCAAGCTTTGTCACGATGCCTGTAAACTAAGCATGCAAGTGAGAGTATTAGTTATCAAGAAAATAATTATGAAGCTTACGTGCCATGGAGGGCAAAGGGTGGCAAACTGCACACATTCGCTTCCCTGTCTCGCAGTGCCTCTGAGCCAGCTTGTTGAGGGCTCTGTGAGCCCAGGAAAGGACTCCAGGTGTCTTGGTGATGTGCTACTGAGAGTGCTACTGCTGTTTGGTTTTTTTAAAAAAAAACGACCAACTTTTATTTATTTCAAAAAGAGAAAAGAAGGAACTGTAGAGAGGAAGTGCCTATTTGGTTTTTTTTTTCTTTACAAAATAGTGGTTTAGGCATATGAATGAAAATGAAACTTTCTGTGTTGAGAAATAGTCTGAAGTTTGACTACTGAGGATAGCTTGTGGCATTTTAAAAAGTACTGGTCCTTTTCTGTGGAAAAAATATTTCTTTTAGTATCAGTTAAAAGCAACAGAGA